GTCATCATCATCCTCATTTCATAATCATCATCATCATCACCGTATCACATCAGAGTCACACCATCACTGCTGCATCGTCATGTCATCATCACCACTAAATCATTATCATCATCATCACCACAACATCAACAACATCATCATCACCACCATAATGTCATCATCATCACCTCATCATCATCGTCATCATCGTTATCAGGAGCAGTTCATAGCCAGGTCTATGTTACAGTTGACCATAGAGCGTTTGAGATCTGTGCTTAAGAAGGAAGCGGGCGGGGTAATGGCCTTCGATAAGGTTATGATGATGATGATGTTGATGATGATGATGATGATGTTGATGATGATGGTGATGATGATGATGATGATGGTGATGATGAGCTCATTATGAGCTCGATCACAGTCATCCTGCCTTCTTAATTGTTATTTTTAGGAAGCAAATAAAAGTTCATTTCATTTCGTTTCGATGATGATGATGATGAATGACGATGACGATGCAAATGATGATGATTGTGATGATGAGGATGATGATGAGGATGAATTGATTTTTTTTTATAAACTAGATAAAGGAGAATTTGGATTTCGAGATGAAGGCTAAAATGCTCGAGATTGAGGCGAACAAGAGTCAGATCAACAGTCAGATCCAGGTGGCGATGATGATGATGGTCATGATAGTGGTGATGATGATGATTATGATGATGATGATTATGATGATGATGACGGTCATGATAGTGGTGATGATGATGACGACGACAAACCCATAACCTCGACTATATAACACTTCATAATCATAAAATGTGATAAAATAAATAGTAATAGAGACTAATACAATGAAAACACTATATATATATATATCTTGTATATCTTAAATGGCATTAATGATAATGACCAAAATGATGATGTTGATACGAAGATTGTGAAGACGAAACACCACGAGCTGAAGCTCGAGATATCAGACAAGAGATTCAAATCCCAGCAACTCATCAAAAAGTATCCGATAGACATTTTCTCATTTAAATACTAAGAAGTCCAATCAACTTTTAACACAATAACTTGTAGGCAATAAAATTTTCCAGCTTATTATGTTTAAAAAATTCGGCTATCAATCTGTTGTGAAAGCGGTGTATCTTTATCTATATCATTTAGAGAGTTCTGGTCATCAGTGTCATCAGTTTTGGTGATTTTAATTGATATTTTTATCACCATCATCCGGTTCAACATCATCATTATCTTCATCATATTCGTCATCATCATCGTCGTCATCATCGTGATATGATTATCATTGGGACCATCTTCACGGTTGTCATCGTCATCATCGTGATAATGATTATCATTGGGACCATCTTCATCATCGTCGTCATCGTGATATGATTATTATTGAGACCATCTTCACGGTCGTCATCGTCATCAGGTACGAGGTACTGACGACATTCATGAAGTCCTCCAATGAAGATGTTGAGGGCAGCTCAACCATTCACTACATCATGAGAGTGAGTAAAGGGTGGTGACGACGACGATGACGTCAACTTTGAAAATTTGAAAGAACATTCCTTCTACTTCACCACATCCACCGTCAGTCTATTCAGGAGAAGGAGGAGTTAAAAATGAGAGGCAACAAGTTGAATGCGGAGGTCAGCCAGGGCGAGCGGGAATTGAAGGGCATGCAGAACGCCGCTGCCCTCATCCAGTGCAAAAATAAGGTCAGGGTTAAAAAGGTCACGGATTCAGGTCAGTTGTTGTTGTTGTTGTTGTTGTGGTTTGGGTTTGTTAGTCAGTGTGTTTGTGTGATTGTGGCGGTGGGTTTTTGTGTTGTGGCGGTGGGTTTGTTTGCAAATAAAAGAAATGAAATCTTCATCATCTACCCGTGTAGCAATCCATACAACATGATCACGTTAATTATATTTTTAACCTCATCATTGTTGTTATCATCGCTGCCACCACCACCAGCACCACCACTACCACCAGCCGCAGCAGCACCACCACCATCACTACCACCACCACGAGCAGCAGCACCACCACCGTCATTGACATCATTACTCTCAGAGAAGGAATCATTAGAGTTGAAGCAGCTGGAGGGTAAGATGGCCGTCTTGCTGAAAGAAATCAACATCGTGAAGAGGGAGATGAAGGATGTTAACGATGAAGCTGCTGTTAGTTTTCTCCGACTGATTGATGCTGATCACGTGATGTTTATGTTGTGTGTGGGTCCGATCACGTGATGTTTATGTTGTGTGGATGTGATCGCGTGATGTTTATGTTTGGGTGATCAGGATTTGGGGTGTGCGGTGTAGTTTCTTCATGGCATTTCTGCGATCTTGTCTGCCCTGTGTATGTTGTTTTTTTGTTTTTTATTTAAAGTGCTCCACACCCTTCAATTAATTAATTGAATACAATTTCGTCTCATATCGATGCTGTTAGTTACATTACTGCAACACAATATTATTTCGAAATTGACCGGACAAACAAACGAACAAACAAATAAACAAACAAACGAACAAACAATCGAACGAACGAACGAAAAAACGAACGAACGAACGAATGAACGAACGAACAAACAAGTAGAAGATGAAAACGCAGATTGACGGGTGCATCAAGAAACATCAAAACAATCTTAAACAGTTTCGTGTTACTGAGGTTCGTTAGTACGTGTGTGTGTGTGTGTGTGTGTGTGTGCGTGCTTGGGCGTGTGTGTTAGTATGTGTATGTGTGTGCCTTTGTGTGTATTTATTTGTATGTCCGTGTATGTGTGTGTATGCGTTTGTACGCTATTGGCAGATTGGTTGAATGATTTTTTGTTGAAAATTTCATTCATGAATGCACCTTACAAATACTTTTCATTCTTCTCGTTGAATGGAAGTATCATGATTGTCACTACATTCGTCACCATCGTCACCACCATCATCGTCATCACAATCATAATCATCAGCTTGTAATCGTCATCTTCACAATCAAAAATCTTACACATCATCATCATCATCATCATCACCACCACCATCATCATCATCATCACCACCACCACCATCATCATC